CGGCTTACATCAAAACTTCGGCTCAAACTCTTCTAAATTCGGTCTCTAGTTACATAACAGAAATTAAAAAATGTCTCTTCTTTAATAGGATTTATAATTGTAAACAGAAAAGATTTTAAATTTCAATCTTACGTACAATTTACTTTATTTTAACATGTTAAATGCTCAAATTTACTTTACTTTAACATTTACATGCTCAAATTTACTTTATTTTAACGTTTTAAATGCTCAAATTTACTTTATTTTAACGTTTTACATGCTCAAATTTACTTTATTTAAACGTCTTACATGCTCAAATTTACTTTACTTTAACATTTACATGCTCAAATTTACTTTATTTTAACGTTTTTCATGCTCAAATCTACTTTATACTTTAACGTTTTACATGCTTAAATTTTGATTTAGGAACTCGGTAGAACCACGGGAATGTTCTAGCTAGAACTTCCAAAGCTAGATAGTCAAATGTAAAGATGCATTAGGATATATTTTATGATAAAGAACTATTTATAAATGTTTTGATGTCTTTATATTTCTTATGTTTTCGTATTTTGTTTCTAAAACCAAAATTATGGTTTGATTTTATTGATCTTCAAACATTTAACATAAACTTGATTGAAAACTCACCAATTCATTAATTTTTAATAATATTCATTTCATAAATCATGGTAATGCAATCTAAAAGTTGATGCCCACGAAACCATTTAATTTTCTTTTTCTTATAAATTTAATTATACTGTGGGAGCATATTTTTTTCAAATGTTCGAGAAAATTATCAATTTTTTAAACTATATGAACCCCCTGTTATGGACTTCTTGCCCTCCTTAAGGTGGGGGCAAGCTTTTTTTAAGGGGCATGCCCCCCTTTAGAGACGACTGTACGGAATTCATTCAGTACATTGTGTCTTTCTTTGCCAGATCATAATAAAAAAACCATTTAAAAACTTAATCAAACAAAAAAGTCCAAATTTAACTGCCTGATTTCAAATCTAGTTTCAGGTCGTGATAAAAATCTCATCTTGTGTGGTTGACTCTGTATCATCTATTTATAATAAGGAACAATGTTCCTGCTATGTACAGTGTGCCCGGGGCGAGTGGAACCTAGTGTTCTTGTGTGCTCTGTTTTTTTGGGTGCACAGTGCGAAGGTTTAGAAACCAGACCTTTTTCTACATACTAATATTGGTAATACTCTGCTGTTTGGATACTCAGAGTTCTGAAACAGAAATGGATTCAAATACCTATATATGGGGGGGGGGTCGTGGCCTTACTTAAAAATATCAAGGATCTTTAAAAACTGAGAAACACCAATAAAAAAACCTAAAAATGAGTTTAAATTTAAATTGTATGTTCTTCAAACACAATATTCAAAACACAATGCAAACTTGAAACACAGTTTTACAAACACAATGTATCCGTTTAACACAATTTTTAAACACACAATGTATCCTCGTAACATAGTATTACAAACACAATGTATCCAGAAACACATCTTCCAAGCACAATGAATCCAGAAACATATCTTCCAAACACAATGTATCCAGAAACATATCTTCCAAACACAATGTATCCACAAACATATCATTCAAACACAATGTATCCAGAAACATATCTTCCAAACACAATGTATCCAGTACCAAATCTGCCAAACACAATGTATCCAGTAACATATCTTCCAAACACAATGTATCCAGAAACATATCTTCCAAACACAATGTATCTTTTTTTCCTTGAAATTCTCGGTGAAACAGTCCTAGAAGTTTTTGTTTAAAATGATAATAAAGAATTTCTAATAAGAAGTTTACAAAGGGCATCTCTCAGCAATGAAGAACTTGAGGGGCAGGATTTCTAGTCCTCTTAGTTATAATCTAAACCAAGGGGTGAACACTTGGCAACCAATTATTTAATTCCAAATATTTTTGAGAGAATGGAAAAAGGACGTAAAGAAACGGATGTTTATATTTGACGAAATCATTATCTTTTTCTCAACTTTTTATATTTCTTAATTTTAGAAAGCGCAATAAAAACAGAGTGAATATACAGAAATGATTTGTTATTCAAATAGTTGTCATTCTTTTCATCTATTCATCTATTCATCTATCCATCTATTCATCCTTTTATCTATTCATCTATTCATCTATTCATATATTCACCTATTCATCTATTCATATATTCATATATTCATATATTAATCTATTAATATATTAAACTATTTACCTATAATTTATAAATTTATCTATTCATATATTCATTTATTCATCATTACCTATTCATCTATTCATCTATTCATCTATTCATCTATTCACCTATTCACCTATTCACATATTCATCTATTCATATATTTGTTCATTCATCTATTCACATATACAACTATTCATCTATTCGTCTATTCATCTATTCATCTATTCACCTATTCACCTATTCATCTATTCATCTATTCATCTATTCACCTATTCACCTATTCTTATTGATTATTGATCAATCTAAGATTTATAGCTAGGGTATCTTTGAGAATCATAGAATATCCATCTTTATATTTTGCTTTAAACCAACTTTAAGAGTGAATATATTTGCTGGGCTTCTAATATGTCGTGTGAATAATAAATAATAATTCTAAATCATAAAATACTAAATGACGCCTTTTAGGCAAATTTTTGCAATATCAGGCTTATATTAAAGTATACGTTTGCAAACCTTAGAAAACCGATTTCTCAGTCTCACCCGGGCAAATTTGCTGTTGTTGCATTAAAATCATAATTTGTATTATCAGATATATTATTCAAATTTTTTACACAGGGTGTACAAATAAACAGTGCGGGTCCCCCCTGCAGAATGAAAAGAAAATCAGCATCAGAGGAATAAGAAAAACAATGTTATTGTACAAATTATACTAGTTTGTTCAACAAAAAATATTGTTTATCTTTCTCAATTCTCAAGGCAAAAGGCTATTGTAAACATTTAATATGTTCTGCAAGGCCAGGCCAAGCTAGGGGAAGCCAAAAGAAGTTCAGAACTGTATTTGTGTGGTTAGTTAGAATACTGTACAAATGTACAGTTAGAATATGCGTATAAGTGATCTAACCCGGACTAACTTAGCGTAGTAAGTTCAAGAAACAGAAGAGAGCCTGAAACTTAAATCTTTTGTTAGCTTTTCTAGATCTTACTAATTTTATCATTTTATTATCTAAAGAAAAAAATCATAAATTTCTCTGGCTTATAGGATCAAGTATGCTGTATGTGGTAAAAAATAGATTTTCAAAACATATTAATTTTCTGGTTTTAAAGTGAGGTGGAAACAGGGGGATGATAGTTCTCTACCTGAGTGCTCAGTTAGCTGTACTGTACACTTACAATTGTTTATTAATAATGATATACTTTCGGTTAGGCCGGAATCTCCTTATAATAAACAAATATGCAGTACGCTCTCGGTATAGTTCATGGCAAGGTACTAATGCAACTGGAAAGTTAATTGCGGTCGCGTATACACTCTGCGTACATATTGAAACCAGTTCTCTCTGGGCGGAATTTGTAAACAAGAATAGCATTTAAAGCAAGTAAAGCATTTAATTTTGATGAATTTGAAAATTCACATAATAGTTTCCTATGACCAGAATATTTCATAGATTATTTTTGTGAAAATTGATTCCATGTCAGGCTGTGACATCCGTCTTGTGTTTACTTTTCCGCCAAAAGACAGTACACTGCAGTACAAAAAAATGTGTATACCTCTGAAATAGCTTTCCTTTGATTAGTACCTTGGTTGATGGCCTATAAGATTAGTAAAGGATTAGCGTACATCATCACTCTATACACTATAATATCGTTGGGTGGAAAGAGTGGAAATAGTGTAACAGTGGGCGAGTTTTGTTGATCTTTTACGATCAGCAATTCAAGGATTTTTTGGATCGCTGAGATCATAGCTACCAAGGGGAATCATGCCCCCTTCCCCCCCCCATGCTTTAACCCTACGGTTGGACTTTAGAGTCCTATTTTGAATCCTAACGGATTTATTTGAGTTTGCATTTGGATTCTATAAATAACCCAAGCGACGCCGAATTTTCCGTTATCTTGAAGGCCCAAGCGTTGGGGAGGGGGCGGAACAACCCCGGGGTAGCTAGGGTTAAATGCGATCCTAGGATAAAGCAAAATCGAAGGAGGAGAGGCAGTTGATCGTCAGCTCCCTTGAATTGAGGTTCCCTTGAAGAATTCCCCTATTTGATGAAACTGATTTGATTCTTAATATTTAGTTTGTATAAGTATCGTTCGATTTAAAGTTTGTATTTTTTGCATCTTGTATATAAATATATTGTAAGAAAAACCGACTCGTTGAATATTTGAGAAACTCAGTGCATTGCTTTATTGATTTTTATTCATATACAATAATAGATACAGTCTATAGGGGATATAAGGGATATAAGGGATATAAGGGATATAAGGGATATAAGGGATATTAGGGATATTAGGGATATAAGGGATATTAGGGATATAAGGGATATAAGGGATATAAGGGAAATAAGGAATATAAGGGATATAAGGGATATAAGGGATATAAGGGATATAAGGGATATAAGGGATATAAGGGATATAAGGGATATAAGTATAAGATAAGTTATCAAGTAATTTCAAGTTATCTTAATTTAGACCATTTTTTCTAGGTCGAACAAATATTTTGCATACAGCGCGCCCCGGCCTATGTTACTTTTATCTGAGTTTATAAAACTATAGGCTTTTAGGGCGCTTCGCGCCCATGCTTCTATTTAAATTGTGAACATGTTCTTTTTGTTTACACTTTAAAACAAAGAAGAAAAAATTCAGCCGTTTTGACGTTTATTGCAACAAACAAACAGACAAACAGACAGACAAGCCAAATTTATATATAGATTTGTGCCACCCCCTTCACAAAAATTCCTAGCTACGGATCTGATGTACCATAATACAGTGTATTGTGTACCCGGTGGACCTACTATAGGTTGGAGCATATGACTACTAACTACACTGTATCGCTGCATCGCAACCATTCTCAGTCTCACTCCTCACTCCTCAGTTAGGTTGAGACCGTCTTTGTGAAACCACATATACGCACTTGTATTAATCGTGATCAAAGTACGCATACTTCACAGATATGCTGGAGTTTTTTATAAATAAATAATAGTGTAAACTTACATTTAATCCTACTCAATATAATATTGGTGAACTGTGTTAATTATTTACGTGAAAAAACAGTGAGTGAAGTATTCACCTGTGTTATACCCAGTGTCCAGGGGCAGACCTATCCTAAAACCAGTTCTACAGGTATCCTACACAAACCAGGGTTATCTATTTATCTCATTCCAGCTTATATACCTCTCCAGAGAGTATACCTTCCCCCATGGGAATATTTTACATGTTCCCGCTCTTTTTGAAAATAATTTTGCAGATTTTTTAATGTACACGTCTGGCGATTTTTGGTAGAATGATCTGTACACATTTCGTACATGGTTTTGTACAATTGTACACAATGAATTCTGGATTACAGCATTTTATTTTTTTTGAACTATTGTTCAGCGAATTCTATTGTGTGGAGAGTGTGGAATATTTCATCTAGAATTTTTTTACAATTGCGAATTTGACGTCTATCTGCTGCAATATCTACTATATTAAATTTGCTCTGCGAATTCTATGCAATTCTGCTCCTGCAATTTAATGTTCTGTGCGCTTACTTTTCAAATTACTAAGTAAAATAAAGAAGTAGATCTAACGTCTATGATTGTATTTGTTAAGAGGGTACATGACTAAAATTTACTTGATGGGGAAATGTATTTCAACAAATGTATTTTGTCACTTTAACACCCAAGCTCATAATCCGTCCCTAAATGCTTACAATTTCTCTTACTAATATGTAATTTTTAGGATTAAAAATGCTTTCTTTTAACTATGCTTTATGGTGATTTCACCCCCCCCCCCACACACGATTTAATAAAAACAGTTTTTTCGTAAGTTACTTTATTTTCATTGCCAATAAAAGTCATTTGGTTAAAAAGTTCGTTGCTCGTTTTTCATTAATATTATTGGGGGGTTGAACTTCATTTGGTTGAACTTCATTTGGTTGAACTTCATTGGGTTGAACTTCATTTGGTTGAACTTCATTGGGTTGAAATTTATTTGCCTCACCTTTAAAAGTTTCCTTGGGCTAAAACATCATTCTGCTGAATTCTTCATTTGGATGAAATTTCTTGAACTGAACTTCATTTGGATGAAATTTCTTGGGCTTGAACTTCATTTGGATGAAATTTCTTGAACTGAACTTCATTTGGATGAAATTTCTTGAACTGAACTTCATTTGGATGAAATTTCTTGGGCTTGAACTTCATTTGGATGAAATTTCTTGGGCTGAACTTTATTTGGATGAACTTCATTGTCTGGAACTTTATTGGCTTGAACTCCATTGTCTTGATTTCCATTGGCTTAAACTCCATTATCTTGAATTCCATTGGCATGAACTCCATTGGCATGAACTCCATTGGCGTGAACTCTAATGGCTTCAACTCCATTGGCTTAAACTCCATTGGCTTAAACTCCATTATCTTGAATTCCATTGGCATGAACTCCATTGGCATGAACTCCATTGGCGTGAACTCCAATGGCTTCAACTCCATTGGCTTAAACTCCATTGTCTTGAACTCCATTGGCTTGAACTCCATTGTCTTGAACTTCATTGGCTTGAACTCGATTGGGTTTGAACTCCATTGTCTTGAACTTCATTGGCAAGAACTCCATTGGCTTGAACTCCATTAGCTTGAGCTTCATTGGCTTGAACTCCATTATCTTGAACTTAAATTTGGATGAACTGAGCCCCTTTAATGCTTAGTCCCTTTAATGCTTAGTCCCTTAAATGTTTAGTCCCTTTAATGCTTAGTCCCTTTAATGCTTAGTCCTTTTAATGCTTAGTCCCTTTAATGCTTAGTCCCTTAATGCTTAGTCCCTTAAATGTGTAGTCCCTTTAATGCTTAGTCCTTTTAATGCTTAGTCCTTTTAATGCTTAGTCCCTTTAATGCTTAGTCCCTTTTATGCTTAGTCCCTTTAATGCTTAGTCCCTTTAATGCTTAGTCCCTTTAATGCTTAGTCCTTTAATGCTTAGTCCTTTTAATGCTTAGTCCCTTTAATGCTTAGTCCTTTAATGCTTAGTCCTTTTAATGCTTAGTCCCTTTAATGCTTAGTCCCTTTAATGCTTAGTCCTTTTAATGCTTAGTCCCTTTAATGCTTAGTCCCTTTAATGCTTAGTCCCTTTAATGCTGGTCCTGAAAGTAATGATTGGTTGTCTATCCCTCTAGAATGATTTTGCTGTTTTTTAGAAAAGAAAACCCAGTGTGGTTTCGGTTCCTTTTAAATGATTCATCAGAATTTAAGAAATGAAATCTGTTGCTCTGAAAGCTGAAAGGATTAACTCGTCAAAAACATGTCAAAACCTCGTCTAATTGTTGAATGTTTTAAGATTAAGCGAAACGAAGAAACGTATGGTTTGGAAAATTGAGAGTTTTTATCCGAATCTAACGGATAATGACATGAATCGAAAAAAAAACTAATTGATAGACTGTATCCCCCCTCTCCCCCCTTCTCACAAATTCTTTTTTGTAAATGAAAGTTATTGAGACGTTAAAATCACCCCCCCCCCTCCACCACCCTGAATATTTAGTGCTAAATTAAACTAAATACAGGGTGTTTCAGAATTAACTTATTAAATTTAAAGCGGTAGAAGCTATTTCTATTAACCCTATTCACAAAAACCATGATTTATGATTTAATAAATTTTAGGCACCCTGTGTACAGTCTAAAATGGGGTTTGAACACCCTGTATATACAGTGTTAGATAAATCTTGAGTCCGCTAATCATGGCAGATGAGAGAAAATTTAGATTCCTCGCCCCATGGAACGAATCTCTAATTTTCTGCCCAAATTTTAAAATTTTTAGTTTTCCTATTTTCTGTTCTTTCCAGGGGTTCCAGGGGGTTCCAGGGATTTCCAGGGAGTTCCATGGGGGTTCCAGGGGGGTTCTAGGGGTTTCCCGGGGGTTCCAGGTTTCTCCTATATGGTTTTTTTTCAAATCCTTCCCTTATCTTATCTTACTATAATTTGTAACTATCATTGCTATTTTAAAGATCTTAAAAATGTATAACTTGAACCTTTTGTCAGACCATGTTATTTTTCAGATTTTTTGAAATTTCTTTTCGAATCTTTGCTTCGTTGTAGAAACTTTTTTTGAACATTGAAGGAACGAATAAAAAGTAAGGTAATGAGTGACTTTTCGCCGCGCCGCGCCAAATCTTCCCCCCCCCTTCCCCGAATATGGATAGGGAAAGGGTTAAAGTTTGTGGGGGGGGGGGATAGTTTCTTTTTTTTCTCCTCTGCAAACGCTCTTGCCAAAATGTGCTCACAGCGGAGAGTTATTGGCTGGAAAATCTTTATTTTCAACTTCTTAATCTAACAATTTCCTCTGGGTTCGTTTTCTTTATATTACTTGAACTAAACTTCTACATAATTAATACTCTTTTTAGTCCGCAATCAAATCCTAGACCCCCTGTTTTTAAACCAGATTTTAGTCGTAAAAACCACCCGTTTTTGCAACTATAACCATTTAGTAGCGGTAGACTTGTGAACATCACATTTAGCTCTAAGCATTATTTTATATCTTGAAAAGAATTTATCTTTAGAATTTTTCTTTTTGTTATGTTCAAACTCAATACTTATCCATTAAACAAGAGATATTTTATAAAAAATACTGGTAATATTACATCGTCTACACGCAACATTCCCCTTACTGAACTTCCGACCTAATAACTTTCCGACCTACTGCAATATAGGACCTAACGCCAGCTGTTTATTTTTGTATTATTTGAGGGTTAGGTTAGGACAGGCTAGGAGGCCGGGCGCTGCGGCCACAAGTCCATATAGCAGTTGTAAAACCACGTGCTAGTAGGTCGGATGTGTAGTATAGCGGATTTGGCGTAGGTCAGAAGTGGAGCATAGCAGATTTACTTTTTGAAGAAACATTGTTTATTTGTAAAAAACGAGAAGTAATAAAATCAAAATTTAAATAATTTTAAAAAAATTGTATGAAAGAATGTATTAAAAATTAATCTTGAATTGAGTCAGAAAGATTGTCCTTATACTTCCCTTTTCATTATTTTTGAACATTCTCTTTAAAGGGACTGTAACCGTAGTTTCAAGTAGCCTTCCATGCAAAGATGACATCGTTCGATTTACAACGGTACCCTAATAAGCTTTTGTCTGTTCAAGTATCAACTTAATATCAATGTTTATAATTTAGAAAACTGATTATTTTCTATTGCACGGGTTCTCTACAAATATTACTTGCGTATTTCTGCTGCAGAAAGACATATAGGAATTATAGAATTAAACACTTTTAAATCTAGAAAAACGGCAATATCTTCCACATTAGTTATCAGAATAAGGTTACATGGGTACCGCGTGATAGAGGCATTACCATTTTTGCATTATTGGTCATCACTTGAAATTACGCTTACAATTATTTAAATCCAGATTTTTGCAAGGATTGGGGATTGGAAAACCATCCAGGGGGTTGGGTGGGCAATGATTGAAGGAATGGGGGGAGGGCTATGGTACAGAGAGGCAGTGAGGAGGGAGGGGTGAGCTGTAGGGGTGTTAAGAAGAGGGGGGGTGGGGTATTGTTAAGTGTGAAATATTGATGTTTTGTCAAAACTTTACCTTTTAATATCATTCTTTTTTGGATCCCCCCCCCCCTATTTGAAAAGGAGGGGGGGGGGGGGTTGAGTTAATTTTGTCCGGTTAACGATGTATTGAGAAGATATTTATTGTTTTCGTTAGATATAGCTGCTGTACCACGCTTTATAATCACCGCCATCAGCTACAGAAATACCTCATTAACTTTCTAGATTCCAATTTATTAATAATTGCACAAAATGTTGAAATTATGTCTAGAAATTTGCAGTATTTCTGATAATTTCTCGGCTGCCTAATTTCAGTGTTTTTTCTTCTTAGAATTTCAGGATTCATTTGACTTTAAATACATACATGGTGCAGTTCGTTAAATTCTATCTATCTATCTATATATGCATTTATTTATGTATCTGTCTACTTCTCCATCTGTCTGTCTGTCTTTCTGTCTAGCTGGAAACCCGGCGATGACCAGTTAACTCATAGTTACTCCCGCCGTTTACCCGCACTTGGTCTTAAATCATGATTTTAGCTTCATTTCGCTATACAAGTCTGCCCTTTCAACCTAGAATCTGAAAACCAAGCTAAAAACATTCACA